CAGTTGGTTTGTTGTAGTTCTGTAGAGAGGGGGGGGGAGGGGGACTAACTGCGGGATAGTACTATCTTTCCTAGTAATTTCTAAAGTCGTGGGGCGTTTCGATATTCAAATGGTCAAGTATGTACAGAGAGAGCCCCTTGTCCCCCGTAGAACTGAGTCATCCTGATGATTGGATAGCACTGCTTCCCCAGGCCGCAGAAAGCGTCAGGTCTTAACTTCGAGCCTTGAATTGTTCCGAAAAGATGTCCAGTGTAGGGAGCAGGTGCACTTTCAACGGAGCACTGGCAGAGGGAACCAAATTTTTCGACAGCTTAACTTGCTGCTATCAATTTGACGGCGAGTCCTGCCCAATTCCTTTCGTAAGTTATCTTTTGCGACTGATCCAATCTGACAACTGCTGGGTGCACTTTTAAATTGAACTTTTGCGCATTTTAGTATAGTTAGAACGAAATAAGTGCTTTTCCATGCCTGATGACTTCAAGTGGTAAGGCTGATGTAACAACAAAAACTAAACTGATGATACCAAGAGGATAAGTAATGGTAGTATGTAGATGATAAGCCAACAGTTCTCTTTTCCCCTGAAGCATGTAGCTGTGGAGATACATAGTTAGGTCAATCGAGTTGGAAAGTATGAATTATTTGCTGTAGGACAATCTTTTTTAAGTAAATTTCAAGCGATGAATTAACATGAGACCAGTTATGTTTCAGTCAGCAACCTGTTCAAGTCTTACCCTTCTTCCAAAGTTCTAATTTTAAATAAATTTCTGCGCTCCCTTTTCAGATTCCTATCACGAAGGAACCTTTGGGAAGCAGAACACCCAAGACACCCATGGAAAGGAGACCAAGAAAAGCCATGAGAAAGCTGGTAGGTTTTGAATACATAGATAAGGATAGAAATCTCACAGCAGTCTATATTGAGCCCAGCAATCCCCGATTCAAAACTAATTATACAAAATGTTGACATATTTATATACTCACACCATTTGATATTTTAATAACACCCATCTGTCATGTCTGTGCGTTTGTGTGTCTGTGTGTCTGTGTGTCAGTCTGTGTGTCTGTCTGTCTGTCTGTCTGCCTGTCTGTCTGTCTGTCTGTCTGTCTGTCTGTCTATCTATCTGTCTGTCCGTCACGAAATCCAGTATTACTAGAAGAAGCACCTGGAAAAGTAGGGTGAAGTGTGAGCTGTGTTGGGCATGTGTGAGGCAGCCCAAGGCGCCAGAACATATGTGAACTCCGCAAATAAGATGGGAACGTTCATCGGAATGGGTGCAACTATTTCTCGACTAATCCGCCATTCGAGGGCGCATATCAATTATACGATAGATTTTAGAAATGAAAATGTAGATGACTGATTACCCCTCATTGAAGAAAAGGCAAAATGAAGTCAAGAGGCCCCCTTCTCCCAAAGTAGTACCAAAAAAACAAAGAATTGGGTGTATTTCCATGAGTTCCTTCTTGTCGATCTCATCCGGTTGTTTCGTGGAATTCACCTTGATGGAGCTACTTTACCTGATATTTTGATCCTAGCGCATCTTTCATGGTTGACGACAAAAATTTACTGCCACTTGTCAAGTGATAAATATCCCTGGAGACGGCATTGCCGGAGGTGGGCGGTGCTGTCGCACTGTTGCTAGTGACCTAGTTTCGACGGACACGCGCAACGAAGCGACCCGTAACTACCTAATCTGTGCGGTAGTTCTGAAAGTAAATTTTTGACAAAATATCATCGGCACTTAGAGAACAATAACAGCAATGATTTCATATTTTCTCGAAGTCCTTTGAATTTATCTTTCGATTTTAATTATAAATATTTTTAATTATTTATTTTGTAGTATGTTTACAAGATTTTTGATCAGAAATTCCGTTTTCAGCCATATTCCATGAGCTCACCTACGAGGGAATTAGCCCAAGAAGCCATGAAACAAGGCACCTGTACAAAACGAAAAGTGCAGGCGACTTGAAATCTGGCGGAGTTATGGAAATCTTGCGATATCAACCAGGGATCGATGATGAGCTGAAGAAGGACCAGAAAAAACCAGCAACGATCGGCGAAGGTGTCGTTTCACACGCTAGAGGCCGGGAAGGCCACACAGCCGTTGTCCATCCTGCCACATCCGATACGCAGACGGTCCGCAAAGGCTTCGTTCATGAAATGGCAAGAAGACTTGAGTAGGTTCTCTTTTGCTTTAGTGCATCATCAAAAATTTCTTCTGCTTTATATTTTTGAAATATTATATTTTTGAAATATCAAGCTCCTCAAGACAATGACATCTGCTCTCATCCTTTCACATGTGTCCAAAAACTCTGTTTTCGCTTGGCTGCTTTCATAGTCCGCCGGCGTGCCGGCGTGCAGTCCACGCCCCTTCGAGGGGTTGAAAACAAACAACCTTCGAAGGGGCGTGGACTGTTTGCCTTACACTGTCTGCCTCCCTCCTCCCCCCTAGCACTGCCTCCGCCGGCACGCCGGCCGGCCGGCCGGCCGGCGGACTATGAAAGCAGCCCTTGGCCCCTGATGGCAGACTTTTTTACTCAGTATGTTGAAAGTCTGAATTCTCTCAAATCCACTAGCAAGTAACTCACTCAGCAACCTAATATCGGTGAATTTGATGAATTTGAACCTAATTTGAACCCAGCGTATGGACAGGCTGAGGTCCATTGACCAGGAATCCCTTTGCCATACTTGCCAGATTCGTCAAAAAGTTGCGAACATAGAATTGTACGTTAAATGGTATCCACTACTCTTTTTTCTGTCAAATCACACCCTCGACCTCTACCAATCTTTGGTGGAACCGAAGACGTAGCTGATCCTAGAAAGACAAGAGTTAAATAGTCTCCAACTTTCCTCTTGCTTCAACCTCGGCATAGTTAATTATAATTGAAATACTTTTGTGCCGTACGAGGTTGTTAAGTGGAACAATTTATTTAATCAACGGCCTAACGTTTCGACGCAATCGTTTTCTTCAGAGGCCAGGATACCACCGCTTGAGAAAAGTCAAAACGTTAGGCCGTTGATTAAATAAATTGTTTCACTTAAAAATTTCGTACGGCATAGAAGTATTTCAATCAGAAGAGTCAAAGTTGGGTGTTTTACTCATTTTCAGAGTTATTTCGAGCTCCAAGCCTAACTGCTACAACTAAACAACTAAACCGTAACTTTAACCCTTATGCTCAACTCAGCGGGCATTGGCATCATTCTCATCGCGGTACCTCTCACGTTGAATTTCCTGTAGGCCCTGTGGACCTTCGTTTTTCAGTAAAATCGTATTTCCGTGATCGGAAACTCGTTTGCCCATTTGCAGCGAAAAGGTTTGAATGGATAATTTCAAAAGATCTGAGGATTTGTCTGAAGAGAAAACCAAGTTTCAGATGACCACCTTCCGTCTAACAAATACACGCATCTGGCCTTGGCTTTCAGTTTACGTTCATAGATTCTGAACAACGAAGTTTTTAGACTTTCGCTCCGAAAAGCAACTGCTCCCCTTTTTCCCCGATACATTGCTTTTTCACAGAATGAAGCTTGAGATGCCTGAGATAGAAGAACATGAGCCTAAACGATTTTGAGATATCACGACAAATCTCCATTTATTTTGGAAATCCCTGTCAATATCAGCGACATTCAACTCCTTCATAATTATAGTAGAACTTTTGGGTGAGGTTCTGGGAAACCCCTCTGGTAGAAGTTGTGTAGTGGCACACTATCATACGCATGGTCCGAGCATCGAATCCCGGATCCAATCGTGTCCAGGCCAACCAAACCTCCCATCTTTGCGGGTTTGGTTAAATGATACAGGGCTCGTCTGTGATGGTACATAAATGCACCGATTTCAATGTTGGCCTGTCACCATTATGGGCCTCATACGCATTTGAGCATAATTACCACTTGAATTCGAAGCGAAAAAAGGGCGCATCTCGTAGTTGTACCGAAAGCTCATACTCGAGGCTCGTTCTAAACTGCGGCAACCCCTACCGAACCCCAAGTTCCAGCTTGATCGTCAGGGGTATGGGCACTACGTGCGTTCGAGCATGGGCACGGCAAATTGCGTGGCAAAGTTCGGACGATTTCAACGACTTTAGCGCCTATCATTGGGGCCCAATTTGAAGTAGAGTAGGTTGGAAGGATCATCTGACCCTACTAAACTACTCTTCTTCGAGTTTGTGCCTCGAAAATTGGCGTCAGAGTCGCACAAATCGCGTGTCCTCTCTAACGTCCGTCCCCGATCACCAGGCATGAACCATATCGAGGAAACAGGAAATAGGAAAGAAAAGTTAGGGTTAGGACCGAGCCGGTACAATTATCACCTAGTACTAGTTGTAGGGTAGATAAGTTTTCGGGGAAATTCCTAGAATTCGTAACTCTCTCATTAAGTATAGCAAAAAGATCTCATCCTCTCTAACTTACAGTAACCCATAAGTGACGGTTACTAAAGTAGACAATAAACCCTCGAGTTTGCGATTGTACATTGTATTTCTCATGTGACAAAGGTTCGCCATGAATTCTCTCACTCATCTCAACGACAAAAAACTGACCTTTCATGCTTCACCGATGACGATAATGGGTTAATGTCTTTCAGGCAAACACTGGCCGAGGAGACAGCGAAAAAGCCAACGCCTGCGCGATTGCCGAGGACAAAATCGTCAGAACGATCATGGCAAAAGATACAAGGCACAGAAATCGGTAGTGGAGCGGTCCCGACCGGGCAAAGGGTCGCGCAATCAGCAGCAATCGGAACTGGAGCGGTGTCAGCCGGATTTGAACCGTCGAAAGCTTCAAGTGACGTTCCGTCGGTCTCGGTTCACGATGCGATTCGAACATTTGAACAAGCATCTTCTAAACAGCATTCTTACAAGGATGATATTGTGGAGATTCCCTATGAAACACAACAAATGGAACGGCAAAGGTTGGTTTGTAAACTCGCTTTCACTAGAAAAGTCATTTCATCGGGTGAGAGAAGTAGCCGTCTTTCCATAGAAATTTGCATTTTTCCACTGAGATAGGAAAGTGTCACATATGAATCTCTTTCGGGATCGAAATTAAATAATAAAGCAGGAGGACACGCCTATTTTTCTCAGCTGGCGTTATTTACTGTCGAGCGGACAAACAGTAGAGTGATCGATTGAAAAATCGGACTTTATGACACATTCTTCCGAAACCATATACATGTATTTCCTTATACGCAGGCATGATTGGAAGCCTTTGCCGCGATAGTATTATATATGTACCTCTTATTCGACTAATGTTTTGCCCTTGTAGCCCTCGTCAGAGTATAAATGCACAGTAGTCGACCTGTTTTTACTTCTTCTACTTCTTGTAATTTTAATAATACATTATTTATATTAGGACAAAAATGGTGTAGCGGCATGTGCGCACTGCAATACGCACAGTCAAGGTATCAAACTCCGGATCGGTACCCGTTGGGCCGATCATGCCTTCCACTCATCAGGGGTTAGTTAATTGGTACCAAACTTTTCTGGGAGGCTTCACGCACTGAGCTGTACATTGACTGGCCACCGTGAACCATTGAATAGACCATTCAAACAGCCACTACGATTCCGAATGGAAGTTGAACGCGGGGCGCATTCACAAACGAATTTGTTCACTGCCGAGATACCTTATCTTATCGTATGGTGGTTATTTGCAGAACGGTAGTTTAGGATGGTTTTGGTGATTTATGAGTGGTTGTTGTTTCGCTCCTATCACCTACATTGCCCAAGTCCCCAATTCACGATGGTCCGGTACCAGTACCAGAACCCTCTGTACCTGTACCCACTATGCCAGAATCAAGACTTATAGTAGGTACCGGTACAGTGGGTTCCATGACCACCGGTATAGTGGGACCGGTACAGTGGGACCATTAAGGGGAACATGACTTTCCCCTCACCTCAGAGAGTCAGGAGTTCTCAGTTTCACGAGTTCAATGACCGCGCTACGGCACACGGCTAACGGCCTTTTCCAAAAAATCTAATTTGTTGTAAGACCTTGATGGCTAGGGGGTTAAGTGGAACGTACGGGGATGCAGGAAAATGTAATGAAACAATAGAATGTTCGCATCTCATCGCTAATGGAAGCAGTTACAGGAGAAAAAAGTAACGATCATAGATTTTATCTCAAGGCTGTGTTATGAACGAAACTGACAGCCTCATATGGGACGCTGTCTTCAATTCTCCTTGTGCCATCAACAAAAAAAACAAATTTAAAAAAAACCAATGAAAACCAATTGGAATCAATTCAGATACGGGAATTTTTTGAGCTGTCCACTGTGGTTCTGTCGTCGATAGGATAGGATTGATATCCGTCTAGGCTAACCAAGCCTTCCATCTTTCCGGGGTCGGTTCATTGGTACCAGGCTCATCTGGGAGGATAAAAGCGCTGACTTGTATGTAAAATGGCCACGGCAAGTCATTGTATAGGCCGCATATGCACTCATTACGCCACTACAATTCTGAATGGAAGTCGAATGTGGGGCGCAATCCTCAGGCGGGATCCTTGCGCCACATCCTTTGACTTCCATTCATAATCGTAACCTTTCGAGTGCGCATGTGGCCTATTCATTGATTTGAGGCGCATCTTGGAAGATAGGCAGCCGATATACAGGTCAGTGCTTCTAGCCTTCCAGGCGAGTATGGCACCAATTAAGCGACCCCGGAGAGAGGGAAGGCTCAGGCACCTCGGCGGATAAAGATCAACGATTCGATCCCTGCAGTATGCGTGACCGTTGAAGTGAGCGCAATTTCACCTTTTTGCTGCTCAAACTGCAATAATGATTGTTTTGAGCTTTGGGCCACCCTTGAAGAGGCACCAGACTAACGGGAGACGTAAGCAAGTGGGTGAACCTGCCGCGAGGCAATCACTTCCTCTCGTCATGTACGAATTGCTGCGTTTTATGAAATTACATTGTGTATGCCTCTATAATTATATTAGATATAACGTCATAAAAATTATGCTCTATATCTCTCTGACTAATCTGAATCTACTTATCTCAAGATTTATTTAATTCAATGGTACCATCAGAGCTCCTAAGCGGTAGATACAAACCACCCACAGTGTCCCTTTATAACCTGAACCAAGCATGAAAATGGGAATGCGGTCTCTTCGAGGGAATATCTCAAAAATGTTTCGACTTTGATGTTTTTTGTAAACTGTTCGCTGTATCCAACGGTTGAACTGATCCAAGCCGTTTCCGTTGCCGAAGTTTCGCTCCGAAAGAGGTCCTGCTCGGAAAGAATGCTTTCGGATTTTGCTTTTTTCGTCCCTTCCGTTTTTTGATTTTTCCTTCCTTCCCATTGAAGTTTCCTTACACTTTCCATTTACGTCTTTTCCCCTTTTAAAGCCTACACAAAGAGCCTTCAACGAATCGTTCGAAACTACTCCCCACTCGAGTTTACAACCTCCTTCTCTCTGAAAAACCGCTGTCCGAAAAAAATCTCGTAGAAGGCTATACGTGATACGTTGTAAAAATAGCTTTTTGTCAAGGTATCTTTGCGAGCGCCCGTGCAACAAGTGAGGATGCGCTTTTCATCATTTTTCCTTTGAACCAATGCACATTTAGCAGTAACTTGAGTAATTTTTATAAATTTTCTTCTTGTTTGAAGATGTTTGTTGTATTTCGCATTCCATCTCGAAAATTGGCCATTTCGAAAGGTTCTTACGCGAAAATTAAATTTGTAAATGTTCCTGTTTCAAGTTTATTTTAAATAGTCGGCTTAGGGTTCACGGCGTTCATGTTCCTTTGTTCTGCTCTAGTGCTTTCGTCTAAAACTGGCCGGGTTCCCACATTCCTTTGAAAGGAAGGTTTGGTTCTTTTTACATCCTTGTTCGGACAATTATGGGTTGAAGCTGATGTGTAGGCAAGGGGCGCGCTATCACATAAATGTGGTCCGGGGATCGAATCGTGGATTGAAGACTACCCAAGCCTCTCCATCTTTAAGAGATCGTTCATTTGGTATTATTTGGTACCAGAGTTCTGGAGAGATGAAAGCGCTGACTTCTACCTCCGCCATTCATTGTATAGGCCATCTAAGCATTCAAACCGCTACTACAGTTTTGAATGGAAGTCGAATGCGGGGGCGTATCCAAAAGGGGATTGATGGACGCGAAGGACCCTACCTTCACCCTCTGGTTGAAATAGACTTGAAAGCAGCTATTGTAGCTAAACAGAATGGTGCACAATATATCAGAAAAAAGGCAGAATTTCAAAGTTCTCGTTCTGTCAACATTTCTGAGACCACATCACTAGCGTTTATGCTGGCTTGCACTTCGCGATGCTTCCGAGGCAAATTAAACCCCCATCACTGCAGACTAACAGGGCCAATCTGTCAATCTAGAGATGATAGGAGCAATTTCAAAGTTCTCGTTCTATCACCATTTCTGAGACCACATCACCAGCGTTTATGCTGGCTTGCACTTCGCGATGCTTCCGAGGCAAGTTAAACCCCCATCACTGCAGACTAACAGGGCCAATCTGTCAATCTAGAGATGATAGGAGCTTTTTTACACTGTATAAATTGGTTCTTATAAAGTCTTCGGACGGACTGGAGGTTCATCCACTTAACCACTATTCTAACTTTTTCAAGAATATCAATCAGTCCACTTCAATTGGTTCCTATTGACCTGTAATCGACCTGCTACAACTGAAAGTTAGATTTAAAGTTACTGGAAAGTTGTTGAAAAAGCAGCCAATAATCTATAAATGGTCCCGAACTTGACTCGAACATTTGTTGATGTTATCGAGGAACATCCCTTAATGCCGAAAAGGTGAAAAATATAGGGATGGTGGATGTGTATGTGCACCCGACAGTTCACGATAATTTTGGGGTATCTAGTTTTGGGAGATTGATGGATGTGATAGTCCAGAATTGTGCAAAGAATTGGGAAGATAACACGAAAAATGGTGTATTTAGAGAAATATATGACCTCAAAAAAGTAGAACAATTTGGTTTTTCGTCGGTTGGAATAGCGCCTATCGCTGAACTATGGAAGCACCCAATCAACCGTCTCATATTCTCCCACTCCCACTACTTCAATTTCCCTAGCTCACTTTTCAATTTCAGCTTTCAGCATTCAACACAGCTTCAATTAGCTCACTTTTTCATTCTTTACCCTACTTTGAAAAGTGAGAGTGGTCGGGAAGAAAATGTCAGCAACCTTCCATTCATGGACTGTGCATTTGGGTTTCTATAGGCTGTGAAGGTGGCTAGGTCCTTCAGGCTGACCGTTTAAGAGCTCTAACGAGTAGCTCAATTTTCCGAGAAGCATTTGGTCTTTGACTCTATAGAGCTGAATGGCTGTTGAAGAGCTACTTGACTAGGAACTCCCGTCAAAATTGGTCGAAATTGTTCTCCGGGATCATTATGTTTTTCTTCTAATTGCTGTACGGTTTGACTACTTTACGAGAATTGTACTTGTAGACCTGTTCTACGGAAATTGACCCTTTTTTCAGTTCTTCTCGCTTGATGAAAACCTGAAACGATTGTGTTGGAGGACCCCGTAAAAATCGTTTTCTTGAAACTTCGAAAATGTTCACTGATAAGCCTCTATTTGAAGAGTTAGTCTGTGAGGGCTGTGAAAGTATTAAGTCTGCAAGGAAAATCTTTCTTTTAGGTTACGTTCGTATGCACTAGACCTGAAAACTAAACATCTACTGCCCAAGCGTAATTTTTTTATCAGCTTAGATGTTTTTTGAGAGTTCCTTAGAAGAACAATTTTGCATGCACGTCTTCTCAACTCTGACAAGATCGAGAAAAGCCTTGCTTGAGCAGCGTTTTTTTTTACAAATCTACACTTTATTCAAAGGCTTTTGCTTGAAGAAAAAACGCAGGCAAGGCTTTCCTCCTGAAAGAAACCCTCACAAACTTCTGTCCTGTCAGCTTATAAGGGCAAAGATCATCTATTCGACATCACTCACATCGAAGAAGAAATATATTAGTCCATTTGAGGACTTTATGCTTTAACTTTCGAAACAAATAGTAGAAAGTGTGTGATCTGTAAATTGTCCACATTGATGCAGCGGATTATTGGAATAAGAACCTGCCATGTGATTTCGGTGGAAGTAGTAATGCCTAGGCAGAATTGGATCCGGTCAACCCGGCCCGGAGTCGGCACTGATGTAGAAGACTTGTTCAGTAGCATGAGGTGCACCAAATTGCACCTAATCTACTCCATCAATTCTGTGCATGAAATTATACCATATCCAAGCATCTTCTATCACAGGGTGCTCGGCTGCAGGCGATTTGTCTGTTTTTGATTAGACTGTTCCTCCATCATACGCGGCTTTTTGAACTACATAATAAAAGAATCACAGTACATAAGGGTGTAGCAATATCAAACACGTTAATCGCTTTTTTCCTCCATGCATTTTGCATTTCATTTTCCTTCTTTTTCTCTTTCTTGTCCTTTTCCCTTTTCCGAATTTTCTGACTCATCTCTCCATCTACTTGTATTCGTTATTCAAAGGAGTATTCTGGAATTGATGAGTAGATGCTGATGAGAACTTGGGACTGAATTTGAAGTTGAGTTTTCTGAAGATAAGCTGCAGCCAAAGCGAAAATCAGAAAATCCATAAGGTGGTCCGAGGATAACACAATCATCCCTAATGAAAGCAGGAAAAAGGAAAGGAAAGCAGGCTCATGCAGGATTCCATATGGGAACGCCCACGCTAGTACAGAAGGAGGGAAAATCAATAAATATTGTCTGCTTCAGTGAAGCTTTATTTCCGGGCATTAAGTACAGGTTATGCTTATTTTGGGAGTAGCATAAGGTGAAATTGTTTCGCGAAACCGGTTGGCACTCATCGTCTGAGCTTACAGGTCGTTATATAGTTATGTGTAACCAGTTCATAGCTAACTTCTTTGCTGCTTTTCTGAACCGGTTATGCAATTTACCTGTCATATCCAACATCACGGACAGCTCGATATAGCTATGCTCTGGAGTAGACGAGCAGAAAAAAATCGCCGACAAAGTTTAAGTTTGCTCAGGTTGAAAGTTTTTAGTAGCGAAGAGAAAACACTTGATGGTTGTGACATTTGTCTTCAAAAATGGCTGAGGGGATGTAGTGCCAAACGGCGTCCCATCACACACATCCGTGGTCCGAAGATCGAATCCCGATAGAATTGCCGATTAAGTGAAGCAAGCCTTCCATCTCTCTGAAGTCGTTTCACTTTTGCCAAACTTGTGTAGGAGGTCATAAGCTCTGTCATGTACATTGCCTACCCACCGCAAGCCATTGTANGAATGCGAAGGCTCGCTTGGAGGGCAGGATTGATCAATGCCTAAGGCTTTATCCTTTATCTTTTGGGCTTCAGATGTACGATGGGAAACTTCTCATTGTCCGACAGCATTGGCTTTTACAGGTTCAATCACTCCTGTAGTTACAGTAACCTGAAAGAGGTGCTCGAACATTCGCCTATGCGTTTCCAGGTTGCGCTCCTTTAGGAAGGAACGGTGGACAAAAATGATCTAATAAGAAATGACCTTCATTACGTCGTCCCTCATTTTCTTCTTTGACGGCCGGCATCGTTCAAGAAATTTCTATAAATAGGAGGATCGGACGGGGAACGAGCGAGCGGTGTCCTACATGACCAATAAAAACGACATTGGAGCGAGCTTATGCATATTTTCCACGTGATGCCTTCCTTTGCTCTCCATCGTAAACCATCGATTGAATAGATGGATTTTTTCGATTTTTCTAAAAATTCACCAGATACAGTTTGTCACAAAATGCAGAAGTAATAGGCTTTTCACCCTCCAATTTGAAGCAGTAAAACACGTCCTTCTACAGTCTCCAACTTCTGCCCTGTTATTGCCTCGGTCTGGTTTACTGTAATATTTTTGTGCCTCGCGAAACTTCTATGTACCTTTAATGGCAGTCAGTTCAAAGTGTTTTCAAGAATATTTTGTTTTATCTTTGGTTACGCGTGCCCAATTCCCCTACACCAATAATTGAGAACTTTGTAGAATCGAAACTCCCGACCCGAATGTTCTGGTCTGTTCATATTCAAAGATAACCTTTGATTACAAATGATAGTGATAATACGAGCCGTTTCGAGGGTCAAGCCTTCATAGTAAAAGTTGATGAGGTGTTAGGTCTGGTTAGTTGGCACAGGCTGCTTTCAGTAGCTGCCGGGTTTTCTAGAGGGCCCATAAGGGCTGGGCTGCTAGTTGTCCTACAAGGTGGGTAGAAGTTGTCACCCCTGCTTTCACTTGGAACTATCACCGTTTTCTGCTCTAAGGTTCTGTAGGTTTCCCCTTTACCCAATTATACTTCCCTAGGCAAAAGGACACCTTTAAGAGAACTTTTATTATATTTGCATGTTGAAATGATAAGATATGGTTTATTGATACATGGCGTTTTAGGGGCAATTTTAATGTCTGCTATCGATTATTGATCGAATCGAGCGCTTTCAGGATGGTTTCAATCGGCACGCCCGAATCAATCAATCTTGACGAGATGGATCTACCCCGTTGGAGTCCAAATCGCAACATTACGGGCGCTGCCTCGCCATCAGGGTGAGCAGCTTCTGCCCATTATGTTTGGCTCATAATGACTTTCAACCCCCCTCCTATCCTATTCATGCTCCCACATCAACTATCTCACTTATTCTCTTTGAGCACTATCCCAGCCTCCAGCCACTTCACATCACAATACTCAGTTAAGTAGTCAGCATTGCGCCCAAAGCTGAGGTTCCTTTTGATTTTTCGTAGAACAAAATGAGCTCTGTTATCATAAAGTCAGAATATTAGCTTGTAATTGGAAAATTTCCAAAAAGTTCTTTCTGGAATTGATAGTCATTAGCGTTTACCCGGACAAAATCTCAGCTCTTGGAAGGAAACTCATCGAGAAAAAAGTTATATATCTCTTTTTCACCTTGCCCTATTCTCTTGATCCCTAGAAATGTCAGTAATACGAAAATTATTGCTCCTTTCAAGTTTTTTTTTGTTATAAGATCCTTCTCCAATATAGTAAATTGCTGACAAATCGGCGCGCGGTCGCGTAGTGGCGTGGAGGCGGTAGATCAATAGGAACTAGAACATCTATTATACTACAATTGGTCACTTCCACCTCATTTGTTGTTCTATCCCGTTGGATTTCAACAAATAAAAGCGATTTCTATAGCAAAAGTGCTGAAGAACAGAATAAAGACAGTCTCTATTCCATCCGATAGCCCACTGGAAATTTTTCTTCGGAAAGATGTGGTTCTTGACGCCGCTTTTGTGAAGTAGATGCTCACTGACTTCCTGAAGTCTTCCTTTTTTGGAGTCCTGCCGACCGGAAATCCAAAAATGCTCAGATACCTGTAAGAAAATTCAGAGGCATTATTGGGAGTGATGTGAATGTGAGGGAGTGTCCTTCCTGAACTACACGAAATCCTCATTCGTGCAGCCAATCGTCTTTTCCACCCCATGTTGGCCTTGTGTACCCAGCTGCGCTATAAATTTGCAGCTTCCTTTGCTTCTACAAAACTTTTTCTTGTTGATTACTTTAGTAAGACGGCATTGTTACAATTATGAGCCTCCCAGAACCAGCTTTTTTTGGAACTACTCGGAGTGCAGAACCCCCTGTTCTCTTGGGGAACTTCTTGCTTATTCACTCTGTACAATGCTCATCCTGCTTGTTCGACTAAAAACTTCCTGGCCCAAATATTTTCTTCAGCTCCTTTTTCAACCAGAAAAAAGGAGAGAAATGTTCTCGTAAGATGTTTAAACAACGACGATGCATTTTCTGCAGTTGTAAAACGGACTTTTACAACTATCATTACATGAAACATTAGAGGGGATGGTCCTGATCGGGAAAAAAATGCTACGCTGCTGTAAAACAACCCTAGACTAGTCCTAAATGATAAAACGCATAATGCCTTCGAGCGTTAGTCAATCCCGCCCAGGTACGCGCCCTGCATTCGACTTCCATCCAGAATTGTAGTGACATATTGATTGCGTACGTGGCCTATACAATGACTTGCGGTGGACAGCCGATGTACTGGTCAGTGCTTCTATCCTCCCAGACGAGTCTGGTACCAATTAACTGACCCCAGAAGGACGGAATGGTCTGTTTTGGCCTAGGCGGATGTCGATCCCGTGACCATGCGTGTGTGAAGTGCGCCACTTATGCTGACACCACTTCCGCTCGACTATTCCTAAAACTGAGTATAACTCAAAAAGCAGTAATTTCCCGTCTGCTGGTTCGGGTGAGCTAAACTTCGGCTACCACACATCATCGTGGACCATTGGCTCTATCCAATGAATACAGTCATTTCTACCGAGCAAGATTCTACTCTGTCAGAAGGGACAGCCCCTGGTGCTTTCACTAATTGAGCTATATTTCACCAGGAGAAGACCTGGCTAGTTACCATGAGTGTATTTAGCGTCATCGTTTGAGAACCCATCTGTTTGCATGAAATATCAACGAGATACCCCACATGAAAGCGTTCAATGCGCTGCCTCCTCCCCACCCCCTAATTAGGGTGGTGGGAAGGATGAATATATGTATAAGTATAGCCAGAAAGTTATAACCTTATCCCGTCACTTGGATCGAGGGAAGACCATTTTGTTTTTTTTCAGTTTTTTCATTGCGCTGCTGTGGGAAGTTCCTTGACCTACTCGGTAAAGCACAGATCACAGGAAAGCAAAGAATCGGAATCCGTTGATGGCATAGGTGTCCCTAAAGGGAGCTCATCTAAAATTTACAAACCCCAGTGTCTCGAATGGGATGTCAGGCAATCGGGCCTTAGTAGCAAACATTCGTGTAGTAGGCCCATTCCCTACTGTTAATGGAATCACAGGGATCAACAGAAGCATCTCTCCCTTCAGGTAAATATCAGTTATATCGAACGTTAAGCCGTAGGCTGCGTTTTTACGATGTCGTGCTCGCTTAATGGGGCGGAACGCACGACCTGGGCCAAAGAGATTATTGCAAAAACCAAGCCAAGACCTTCGGTGTTAGTCAAGACCTCAACCTCCCTGAACTTGATGTTCAGCAAGGGTCATCTGATGAAGAAAAGTTTTTTTGCGATCAAGTATGTGTCGCGTTGTCGGCGGCAGGGAAGGGGACTGTATTCGGGTATATTTGGGTGTCTGTGGGAGTGAAGCGGCCAACAACGACTTTTTTATCGAAACTCTCAACAAGCAGACTTTTTAGCAGTCTCTTTCCCCTCTTTTTGAAAGTTCTTCTGATGGGAAACACATAGTTATGGGGACAGAGGGTCGCATAGAGGGAGCCCTTACTCGTACCGTCATGCCTGACGAAGTTTATGGCCTTTCGATAGCGACTCCCGCCTAAAAATTTTCTTTTCTGCCTTTTTTTGTATCGAAGGGGAGGGGTGGGATTATGAAAATGAGCTTACTACTTTTCGGAACTGGTCGGCTGACTTGTTTGCTAGGAACGATTGGCATAACTGAAAATTGCGATTGCAGAAAAGGGAGGCAGAATGTGACAACATCAGCTTTTTGTTCAATGTAATTGCAGTTATACCCATTCCATTATCTCTGCTAACCTGAAAAACGGTCGTTACGACGAGCAGCGAGAATCGCTTTCCTCCTCTGCCTGCTCGTCTTCCATCCCTCGCCTTCCTGAAACACATTCCTTCGACATTCCCTCATTCACGTGCACAGCGGCACAACGCCTGCGTCGCTTGAGAGAGTCATAAAACGGCTGCCCCCGCAAGCATTGTACGTTCACACGCCACTACGATTCTGGGTGGAAACCAGATGTGTGAGGCTCTCGTCAGATTTGAGCTTTGTAAGGCCAAGCGATTAATTAGTTAGTACTAGTAGCTGTCCAGAATAAAGGATAAAGGTTTTGAACGTTAACCAATCCCGTCTGTTCGATGCACCCTTTCATTCAACTTCCACTCAGAAACGTAGGGATGCATTTGCGTATGTGGCCCATACAATCAGTTGCGGTGACCAGTCGATGCACAAGTCAGTGCTTTTATCCTCCCAGACGAGTCTGGTACCAATTAGCCGACCCCGGAAGGATGGAAGGCTTGGTTGGCCACGCGAATACCGATCAGCAACTCGAGGAACTTGAACCCGTGACCGTGTGCGTGATATAGTGCGCCATTCACCACTACACCACCTCCGCCCTAGATAACATTTGTAATGCGAAGGTGCTGCTGCCACTTTTACAATTGGAAAATACTCTTTCCCTCAGTTCTGGAAGCCCTTTCATCACATCCTGACTGGGAAACTGGCACGAGGTCTGCCCAAAACGGTGGCTTCGATTTCCCTAATGTTCCACTTACTATGCGCCAAGTTTCATGTGAATATCCAGATAGGTGAATGAAGCCAAACCTCCACTAACCAATCCACCTTCACTCTCCGAATCCTGAACCTTATCTCTTTAACTTAGTCAGTGTCTGCTTATGAAAAAATAAAGCATCCACCACCACTTGATCGGAATATTCTAGAAGGAAAAGGGATAGCAGTAGAAGATTTACTTGTGCATACGCTATGGACAAAGAGTAAAGGACAATCTTTGGGTGTTAATCAGTCCCATCAAAGGGATGTGCCCATGCATTCGACTACGATACAGAATCGAAGTAGCAGATTGAATGCGTATGTGGCCCATGCACGATGAATTGCGATGGCCAGCCGATGTACAGGTGAGTGCTTTCATCCTCCCAGACGATCTGGTAGCAATTAACCGACCTCGGAATGATGGAAGGCTTGTTTGGCTGAGGCGGATGTCGATCCGGGAACCGAATCCGTATGAGTGTGTGAGTGCGCCCCTTGCCCCTATACCACCTCCGCCACTTATGCTATGGATGGTAGTGGAGTTTAAGGACAACAGAACCGGAGGAGATTTCCATAGGAGATTTTGGAGCAGTTGGATTTCATGAACCCTTTTTCTCAAACAGATGCGAATGCACTATAGACGAACCGAAGAGGGACGGCCTGAATGGGCTCTTGGTAGGCCTATTGGGAGTTTGTTGCGAAGTTTTATTGCTGTCACAAGTTCCACGCTGTAACAAAGTCGAGTAGATAACGAGAATGGTTGACATCACCCACTTTTCTATGTCCTCACTAAGCTTGCCATGTGAAAGTTGGAACCCTATTCGATATCGTTTTGAAAGCAGTTTTGGTGAGGTGACTCGAGGTGCCAACTGTTCGAGCCTCTACTTGTCAGCCCATAGAATTCGTGTGAGAATCATTCGTAATCACGAAGGAAGGGTTTGTTTTTGTAGAGCAGAATGCGATCCTGCGGAAGTGTGTTGCAGCGCCTCTAACCAGTGCTCTAATTCAATGCAGAACATCAATCGCCTTCAGTGCTATCGTCCCTAAAGGAGATGCTACAGACATGATTCCTGTATCAGTACTACCGAAGAGACTGGATATTCGCCATACATGAGCCACGATCTTCTGTAGGATGTGAAAGGACACTTTTCGAAGTCGGCTTCATTAATAATAGGAAAAAGCCTTTCCTCATTAGTGACAGAGAAAGTCTTAATGGTGCATCGTATGGGAAAAAAAAAGTGTTCGATGGGTGATCCTGAGCAACTAGATGGGAACAAACCT